GAAGCTGGTTAAGGTCTTGGTGTCAAAGTGCTTCATGGCCCAGGGACAGAGGAAGTGGAGGCTGCCCTGGACCCTAAAGCGGTTGCTGGTGGTGTAGCATCATGGCATGCCACAGGCATTAGGGCCTTTCTTCTCTGTATGCTTTTTCTCTGTCCCTCCTGACACTTTTTGTGCCGACCTCCCTCCCTGAACTCTTCCACAAGGTTCTTCCCTTTGCATTCACAGTCATTTAGAGCTTGGGGAGCTTCAGCGAGAGCTGCAGAATCATAAAATGAGGAATCCTAACAGGAGAGACCACATTAGCTACTCAACACTCGGGTGAGAACTGCAGCTCACACGGAGTCTCTGCTCTTGCAGGTGCTTTGGGCAGGTGAGCTTGTTTATCGCCGAGCATAATACAGGCAGGTGGGTTGCCACTGCCTGACTTTCTGGGAGGCTCTGTGCTATCTGGGACTTCGCTGCTGTCTGCCGATGGTTGCTGACACAACCCAGGCCCAGAAGTGATTTTGAAATGCTGTAGGGCAGGGATCCCCAACCCTCAGATCACAGACAGGTACTGAAGCTTCATCTGTATTTACAGCTGCTCCCCAGCCGTTCCCTGTCACTGCATTACCGCCTGAGCTCCTCCTCCTGTTGAGTCAGTGGCACCATTAGATTCTCATAGGAGCGTGAAGCCTGTTGTGAACTGTGCATGAGAGATCTGGGTTGCATGCTCCTTATGAAAATCTGGTACCTGATTTCTCACTGTGCTCCATCATCCCCAGATGGGACTGTCTAGTTGTAGGAAAACAAACTCAGGGCTCCTATGGATTCTACATTATGGTGAGTTGTAGAAGTATTTTATTATATATTACAATGCAATAATAATAGAAATGAAGTGCACAATAAATGAAATATGCTTGAATCATCCCCAAACCATCCCCCAACAGCATCCCCCAACGTGGTCTGTAGAAAAATTGTGTTCCACAAAACCTGTTCCTGGTGCCAAAAAGGTTGGGGACCACTGCTGTAGGGTAACACCCCATTGGATGGCCCTGTAAATCTATTAACAGGCTGATGGAAAGTGTTGGCAGATGTCTGAGGCAACTTGTGACTGAATCTAAGCTTGAGGGCCTGATACCTGCCTGGGCACCCCCCTGCCGCCACTGCTCCCAGCTCCCTTTCTGGATCTAGAACTTTCAAGATCCTGTCAACCCCTCACATTCCCCCCAACCTTGGCTCTGCCTCTCGAACATGGCCTACATTTGGCTTCTGTCTGTGGGTGATCTGGGGGTGACCCCTCACACCTTCTCCACCTCTCCAACAACCCCTCACTCTGACTCTGCTTTTGCTGTGACACTTCAGAAAGCAGGAGCCATTGCCTAGTAGGCAGAGGGGAGAAACTGTGGAGCATGGAAGAGAGAAGGAAATATACAGAGAAAAGGAGGCTAGGAAAGGGATTCTGACAGCATGAGACTGGAGTTTTCTTCTTGTTTTTTTCTGGTCCTCTCCCTTGGAGATGAAGTAGAATCACTGTTAGGTACCTTCAGTGGACGTGAGGGCTTGTATTAGTTTGCTAGGGCTGCTCTAAACCAAGTTCCACACACTGGGTGGCTTAAACAACAGAAAATGACTGCCTCACGGTTCTAGAGGCCAGAACTCTGAGAACGTGGAGTCAGCAAGGTTGGTTTCTTCCAAGGCCTCTCTCCTTGACTTGCACATGGCTATCTTCTCCCTGTGTCTTCATGTCCTTGTCCCTCTGTGTGTCTGTGACCTAATTTCCTCTTCTTATAAAAACACCAGTCATACCGGATTATGGCCGGCCCTTTTAACTTAAAGGCTCTATCTCCAAATAGTCATTTTCAGAGGTACAGCAGGGGCAGGGGAGGTTTAGAAGTTTGACATATGAATTTAAGTTTACACAGTTAAGCCCATAACATAGACCCATAGTAAAGTTGCAAAGTTTGAGCATGGAAGGAGATTTTGACATCATTTCAAAGCTGTCTGATTTTAGGTGTCCAGTCAAAGTGAAAACCTTGTGTAGAAGGTTTTTCACCTTGATGTGTGCGGTGGGGAGGACAGCATCCAGCTGTGCCAAGTTCATGGCAGGTGCTTGCATTGTGGCTAATTGCCTTAGCAAAGATCACTGGAGCCCAGAAATTCGAGACCAGCCTGGACACCATAGTGAGACCTCCATCTCTCCAAAAAATAAACAAGACTGAGTCAAGAGCCAAAGAGGCCATTTGGACTGCCAGTTTCCTACCTGTGATGTGGAATATTTAGGGGGCCAGTGGTTCTCAACGTGTGTCCCTGGACTGGCAGCATCAGCATCACCTGGAACTTGTTAGTAATGCAAAATTTGGGACCTCCATCCTAGACCCCCTGAACTGGAAACTCCAGGGGTGGGGCCAGCCATCTTTGGTCTAACCAGCCCTCTGTGTGATTCTGATGCACACGTAAGTTGGTTGGTCTCTGCTCTGTTCCTGTTCTTGTATTGCCACTGTGTGTTACCTCAAGTTGCAGGATTCGGAAGACCCTCTTTTCTCCACAACTCATAGCGTCTGCTGTCCATACCACCAATGAGAAGTTGCTCATTTGCTGCCATACGGTGTCTTTTGAATTACCAGACTTATGGTTATTTAATTCTTTTGTTGATGATTAACTTTCTAGGTGTTTATTTTGTCTCCTGGCCTGACACATAAACTCCTAGAGAACAAGGATCTTGATTTAACACCCCCCCCACTTTTTTTTTTTTTTGGTGTGGGTGTAGCATAGTTTCTAGCACATGTGGGAGTTTACTAATTGCTGGGTGCAATTGGAGGGAGGTAGTTTTCTCATAGCTCAATCCGGCCATACTGTATCAAAAGACCGAAGCACAGCATCTACCCTTTGCTGGCTGTTTCCATCCATCTTTACCCTGACTTTTTCTCTTCTGTTAACCTTCCCAGACTCATTTTTTCCTGCCATCAGGGCAGAGATGCTGCTTACATAATAATGTTAGTGACATTTTCCTGGTGGGTAACTCTCAAACAATAAAAAAATGCAAGTTAAACATACCCCAAGGGCAGTAGTGGGTGTGTGGCTCCTGGGCTGTGGGGGCGGATTCCTTCCTTGGCTTGTGAGGGGTAGTTTTTGGATCTGTGGTGCGGGTTTTTAAAAAAATTTTTTATTTCTATAGAGATGGGGTCTTGCTATGTTGCCTGGCTGGCCTCAAACTCCTGGCCTCTAATGATCCTCCCACCTCCGCCTCCCAAAGTACGGGGATTCCAGGCGTGGACCACTGTGTGCAGCCAAATGGGAATCAACCACCCCACGGTTCCACTAGAGTTTGAACCTGGGTCCTTTGGTGTGTAAAGCAGACATGATAACCATTACACTATGGAACCATGTGTGATGCAGTTTTATAGCTTCTCTCCAGACCAGTCCTGGACTTCAGGGAGCCTCATATTGGTTGAAGAGCCTGAAAATGAAGGCTGTCCCAAGGCCCATGATCGCTGGAAGGAGAAGTGACAGACACCCCTGCACGTGGGGTGGATTTTGGGCACAGCCTGTCCTCATGAACCCAGTTTTTCTCCTTTCCTCCTTTGGGGCTGTCATGGTAGAAAAATTGCCCAAGAATGTGACTGATGGGGAAAAGGTATACACATTTTATTTTCTAAATGTTATCCAGATTAATGAACATACTAGAATTTGAGCTGGATTTTTAAAGGAAGGCCAGGATTTAGTCAGGTAGGAAAAACAGAGAGCTATTCTGAATGGGCCAAAAGTGCAGACAAATCCTGGAAAATTTGTGCTGTGCTGGCCATAGGGTAGCAGGCTGGGTCGAGCGTTTGTGTAGGGGTCCGATGGAAGATGATGTTGGAGGGAGCTAGAGTGTGAGACTGGGAAGCCCCAGTGTGTTCATGGGTAGAAGGGCTATACAGAAGCTATTTTTAGTGGGGAGAGAGAGGCTGGACATGGTGGCTCAAGTCTTTAATCCTAGCACTTTGGGAGGCGGGGTCAGGAGGATTGCTTGAGGCCAGGAGTTCAAGACCAGCCTGGGCAGCAGAGTAAGACCCCATCTCTATAAAAAATAAAACATTAGCTGGGCATGGTGGTGAGTGCCTGTAGACCTAGTTCCTCAGAAGATTAAGGCAGGAAGATCACTTGAGCTCATGAGTTTGAGGCTATAATGAGCTATGATTGTACCACTGCATTCTGGCCTGGGTGACAGAGCAAGACTCTGTCTCTAACAAAATAAAAAATAAAGTGGAGGGATGGATAGCACACAGCAGTGCTGCAAGGCAAGGCATCTGGCCGCTGAGTGTGGCCGGGTAGGGTGAGACACTCATCTACAGTGGTGTTTGCGGTTGGCTCTTTGCTGGGAGCCTTGGCTGTGTTAACCTCAGGACCCTGGGCCGTCAGGAGGGAGACATCGGGAATCTGGGAACTGAGACAGCTGGGGAGTGAGTATTTGACTTTTACTGAGTTACTTTGTGTGTGGACTTGATAGTGTGGTATCAAGTAGTTTCCCATGTAGTTCATTCTACAAGGGAAAACCTGACATGGATACTGGAGAAAATTAAGAAAAACGCCAGAGACTCTGTGGAAGTGATACAGTTTATAACCATTTAGATGAACTGCCTAGCTCTCATGCTTAACTGGTCCCAGTCACAAGTTCATAGGTAGTTAAGGAATTAACTTAACTTTGCTGTGCTTTGATTTAGTTCTTCATATCAGTCCTCCTAGTTTGTTGACATAGTCTTGAAACTGGATTTTCTTGTCACAACTTTATAAAATGTCAAGGAAACTTACCTACCAAGCAGTAAAAGTTAGAAGAATGGGGATCTCCTGAGATAGTCTGGAAGTGCTTGGTAGAGGTTGTACATTTACTAGGACTTGGAGAGGAGAAATTAGTATTTATCCTTATTGTTACCCCAGCATTGTGTGGAATTTGGGGGAAGGAAGTATATCAGCCTGTGTGGGCTGCTGTAACAGAATACCATAGCCTGGGTGGCTTCAACAACAGAAACGTGTCTCACAGTTCTGGAGGCTCCAAGTTCAAGATCAAGGCGAATCCTCTCTCCTCGGCTTCCAGATGCTGTCTTCTTGCAGCGACCTCACATGGTCTTTTCTCTGCGGGCACTGGGAGAGACAGTTCTGGTGTCTCTTCCTCTTTTTATAAGGTCACAGTCCTGTTGGGTCAGGGACCCACCCTTATGACCTCATTCAACTTTAATTACCTTCTTAAAGGCCCTTTCTCCAAATGTGGTAACACTGGGGGTTAGAGCTTCAACATGACTTTTGGAGGGGACACAGTTTAGTGCATAACAGGAGAAGATGGATGTGCTCATTCAGCCTTGGAAGTCAGGGCAGGAGCTGAACTGATTGAAAAGGAGAAGAAGTGGTCAGGAGATGTGACTAAAGCGAGCAGAAGGCTTGGTGGGCGTCCAGGAGGCAGTGCGAGGAAAAGGGAGGGAGGGCCCAGTTAGCCATATGCGCCTTCCAGGCTCTGTGTGCTCTCACTTCTTCAGGCTAAAACGTCACTGAAGATCAGTTTGTCTCCTCCTTATGCTTGAGTCCTTTTGGTGAGAACTCAGGTCCAAGTTTTAAGAAGCACTTCCCCCTACCTCTGCCAAAAAGCAGACCTGGACATCCAAAGAAGTGTGTGGAAGCTTTAGCTCCCATCTGGCAGCCTCCATTAACATGACAGAGCAGCAGGACTTTCACCACCATCTTGCTTTGAGGGGGCCGCTCTAGATTCTTCCAAGGGAATAGTTCCTTTTCAGGTAAGGGAGGAGGTATTTGAAAGGGTGGCTGTGAAGGTAGAAAATGAGCTTGAGGACATTCCCCACTGCCTGGAGAGCTAGGTGAGGTGGGGCGGCAAGGACCGGACACCCTCAAGGTGTCTTAAAAAATTATCTGGGTGAATGGTCTGAGGGCAAGGAAGACCCTTCTCCTATTGCTTCCAAACTATACTTCAAGGGACCGAATGGCTCTCAAAAGTGAACTAAGAAAAAAGGAAGACACAACAACCCCACACTCCAGAAGGTGAGGCCTGCACTTGAACAGATGCGAAGCCCTTTGTTCCAGCTCGGGGAGGCTGGTGGGGTTGTGCAGGCCACTCTGAGCCGAGTAGTGGGCGGCGCCTTTCATATGCAGAGCAGGCCTTTGATCTGAAGGGGATGAAAGTGCTGGAAAGAGGAGAGGCTCGCTGGGGGGCCTTTGTCTTTGACAAAAAAGGCATCTGCTGGACTCGAACCCCCTCACCCACCCCCTCAGCCCCTGGGCCAACGCAACAATGCCCCAACTGGGACCTGGGTCTCCCTGCAGCTGAAGAAGTCTCAGGAAAGAGAAAGAGGCCTGCTGCAAATGTGGACAGGAGCTTAATCGATTCTTTCCACAGCCCAGAAAGAAAGGGAGAGAGAAGGGCTGTGGGGAGGCAAGGGGAGAGTGGAAAGGGAGACATTGGGGGTGGGGGAAAGGAAAGGTGGAATTTGAACCTTGAAGTAAGCTGTCTGGTTATAAGACTGTGAAGTATTCTCCAGTGAGCACAACTTTCAGAAGGCAGTGCAAGTGGGGTGAGTGTGCCATTGGAGGGAGGGAGAAAGGCATTCAGCTGATGATAAGCCATGATTATGGTTAGACTGATAATCATTTTTTAAAAAAGAGAGTATCACATAAGGCAAGCACTAATGTGAAAATAGCAATCTGTGTATCTTACTGTGTTTTCCAAAAGGAAAATTAAGTCCCTTTAGGTTTTGCACCACAGGAAACGCCACACAAGCATGTTTTTTTTTTTTTTTTTTTTTTTTTTTTTTTAATTTTTTATTGGATTATAGGTTTTGGGGTACATGAGCAGAGCATGCAAGACAGTTGCGTAGGTACACACATGGCAGTGTGCTTTGCTTTTCTTCTCCCCTTATCTTAGTTGTAATATTTTCAACAGTTCTTCTTTTCTTGTGGCCTCTTATCTCTTGCCCTTCTTGAAATCTAAACAAATGCAAATTAAAAGAGATTTGAAATGAGACAATTGATATGGAGATAAGTATTTTCTGCTTGTGGACAATTTTTGAGCCCATTCTGTGGGGTAGATGTACTCTTTGAATGTTAAGCTGATGATTCAGCCGGTGCCTATCATTGAGTCAGGTGTCCACTCAGGTGTAACTGGCATGGATGGCTTGGTTAGGGAAGGGTGTGTGGAATCATGTCCTATATAGTGCTGTCCCTTCAGAGGCTGTGGTTTGGGTAGGGGTTGGGAGAGGAAGGGCACAGCGATTTGACACCTTTGGTACACCCAGTAGGAGAGAAAGTTCTATAATCAAAGGATGGTTTTGTGGAGCTTTTCCCCAGAGGTGGAAGTTGACCTGATAATATGATCTCTGGGCAAGGGGCATTAGTTAACAGGACAGGAAGGGTGAGTTTGAGGCTGTCTGTGCATCTTACCCTGTGGTGCTGTCTTAACCAGGACAGGGCATTCAGGAGACCCTGTCACCTCTCCTCTTAGAGGTACATGGGTCTGGGCAGTCAGGCAGGTCTTGCCTAAGGAGAAGTTGGCTTTAGAGGGCCAGAAGGCATGAAGGCCAGGCTTGCTGCCCATTGCCGTGTTCTGCTGTGCAGTCTCTCAGTGGAAAGAATATGAACTTTGGAGACTGGATCTGGATTTGAATGCTGGCTCTCCCATTTCCTAGTATTGCGACCTTGAGTGAGATATTGAACCTTTCTGAGTCTGTTTTATTTGTGAAAGGGGTATGATGAAATGAACACTGTCAATTTGCAGTGAAGAATAAACAGAGAACCTTTGTAAAGGGCCCAGTGCATAATGTTTTGGTAAGTTTGCTGTTGCTTTTGCTCTGACCACCCTAAGTAGTTGGGCTCACTCGTATCCACTCTATATAGTTGTATACCGACTCGGATACCAAAATTCAAGGATGCTCAAGTTCCTGCTAGAAAATGGCAAGTTGCATTTGCATACAACCTACACACATCCTCCCAAATACTTTGTCATCTCTACGTTACTTACAATAATAACACAATGAAAATGCAATGTAAATAGCTGTTGTACTGTATTTTTGTTTTTAAAAGTTGTATTATTTTTATTTTTCAAATATAAGTAATGTATATTTATATATAATGTATGAAAAATAAATAAACAAAAACATACATATTTTTTGAGACAGAGTCTTGCTCTGTTGCCCAGATTGTAGTGCAGTTCTCAGCTCACTGCAACCTCCACCTCTCAAGTTCAAGTGATTCTCCCTTGTCAGCTTCCTGAGTAGCTGGGATTACAGATGTGGGCCACCACACCTGACTAATTTTTGTATTTTTAGTAGACACAGGGTTTCACCATTTTGTCTGGTCTTGAACTCCTGACCTCAGGTGATCCGCCCATCTTGGCCTCCCAAAGTGCTCAGATTACAGGTGTGAGCTGCTGGTCCTGCCTTTTCCAAATGTTTTTGGTTCATTGTTGGCTGAATCTGTGGTTGCAGAACCCTTGGATACAAAGGTCCAACTGTATGCTTTTATATCCTGTCACTGCTGACATGTTTTTACATCTTCAGTTTGGCTGGCCTAGTCCCATTTCCGTATTCCTAGGCATTCTTTTGCTAACTTGCAGGAGAGCCTGGGACAGGTTTGGGGTGGAATTCTGTTTCTCCATCCAGTAATGTGCCACCTTTTTGCCTTTCCTCCAGATTTGTATCTTGGAATGATTGGTTAGAAATCAATTGGTTTCAAAACCAATCTTGCCTGCCATTGGTTCAGAATCCTGGTTTAAGCCAATTAGCATACAGCATTTTTCTGGCTACTCTTATTGGTCTGGATGTGAGCGTCTGTCTTAAATTGGCTCAGTTAGATGGAAGGTGGTTGAAGAGAGGTTTTCTTTTGCCCTGGCTAGGCTTGCATTTTCCAGTCATAAGGGCGGTTCAAGAATGAAGAAGTTATATAGCCCAGGGAGTCCCGATCTTATGATGCACCTCTGCTTTCGGGCTTGCTGCTGTGTGACAGTATGTTTCCTTACGGTTTAAACCATTGTAAATCTCTGTTCATGCTGATACCGCTGTCTCCATAACTGCTCCATATAAACTCCCATTTCTTACCTTAAATCACTATTTTCTTTGCATTTTTTACCAAACATGTACCCCCAACAGCATGTTGTCTGGTCTTGTTTTTGAATTGTTCTGTAAGTGGAACCATATTTATATATATTCTCCTGCGTTTTGCCAGTTTCCTCAACATTGCATGATATTCACCATGCTAGGGTATGGGCACTATTTATTTTCACTGTTGTAGGGTATCTCATGGATACAAATACCACAGTTTACCAGTTCTCTTGTAGACGAATGTCTGGGCATTTTCCAGCATTTTGCTGTTTCACATTATTTTGCTATAAACATTTACGACCTCCTCAGCAGTATTAGACACGTTAGACCGAGAGGTGGGATCACTGCTTTTGTGGTAGGACTGGCTTCTTCACATTATTCAAGAGAGCACACCCAACTGGGTCTCAGACCTGCAGAACCAGAACTGGGCTCCTCCCCTATTTGTGTGGTGCCCTAGCTCCTTCCTGGTGGGGCTGTGGTGAGGCAAAAAGCTGGTTCTGTCACCCCTGTATTGGGTTTCTAGGGCTGCAGCAATAAAGTACCACAAACTGGATGGCTTAAAACAGTAGAAATTTTTTTTTCCAGTTCTGGAGGCTAGAAATCTTATATTGAGGTGTTGGCCAGGAAGTGCTCTCTCTGAAGACCTAGAGGAAAATCCCCCCTTCTGGCTTCTGGTGGTTGACACCAATCCTTGGTGTTTCTTGGCTTGTGAGAGCCTTACTCCAGTCTCTGCCTAATATGGTTTTGCTGTGTCCCCACCCAAATCTTATCTTGAACTGTAGTTTCTATAATCCCCATGTGTCGTGGGAGGGACCAGGTGGGAGGTAATATAATCATGGGGGCGGTTACCTCCATGCTGTTCTCCCAATACTGAGTGAGTTCTCATAAGATATGATAGTTTTATAAGGGGCTTTTCCCCCTCTTGCTCACCATTTCTCCTTCCTGCCGCCATGTGATGAAGGACATGTTTGCTTTTCCTGCCATGGTTGTAACTTTCCTGAGGCCTCCCCAGCCCTGCAAAACTGTGAGTCAATTTAAACCTTCCTCCT